AGCAAGTGTGTTTAGGGATGTTAAATAGCTGACTATATTAATGTTTTTGGGTCATTGAACACAGCTGTTTGCAGTCTCTCTGTTTGAATGTCTACTTTGTATTCTTTGATACTGTGATTTGAGCAACTATTTCCAAGATGATAATATGCAATCTATTAACAGGTGATTTCTTACTGTTATGTTTTTTTTTGTAGTTCTGTATTATGTGTAACCTTACACTGCTTTGTTTTGTTTTGTGTTTTTCTTTTTCCTCTTAAATTAAAAAAAAAAAAGAACATTAAGTATGCAGATTTTGCCAAAGTATCAAGTGAACTATCTGAAACAAAAACTATCTTTTGTAACTTACATTTTACATCTGAGATTGATTGGGTAATAAATATGTCTTTAAGGTTAATTTGTTCTTCTATTGAATCACGATCTAGGGGAATATGTTTTATTAGGGCCTCTAGTAAGTGATCTAAGAAATTAGAAAGGTTTTCATTATTCTCCTGAAAAATAGTTGACAATCTTAAATAACTAGAGGGCTTGCTTTTTGTCCTTCTTAGACCTTTAAGAGTACACACCTGTAAAGGTCTCCTGTTTTAATTTCATGCCAGGTTTCTAGGCCAGTAGCGGTCTTGGATGGGAACTGTTTGTGCCCCAGTGGGAACTGGTGGTTCTCCTGGATGTCTATCTTCTGGCTTTATGAGATTAACAGTATGGTATTTATTTCCAAATGCAATAGCTAGAAGTCAGTGTCTGACTTAAGATTAACATTACATCTTTTCAAACTAGCCTATAAGTGTGAGTAAATCCTCTAAAACATTGATGTACTTCTCAGGGGTCATCTGAAAATTTTCCTAGTTCTAGCTTAATTTGTTTTAAGTCATTGACAGAATGGTGACAGTCTTATAAGGATTATAATTATACCTGGAGCATAAATAAGAATTATTTCTCAATGCTAAAAATGTTTGAACATACAACAATGCTAACCATTTTTTCTCTTTTATACAGTACCCCTCTAGTTGTAAAAGAACATAATTAATACTTCCCTCTGCATTCCCTTTTGGCTCTAGGGGGTAGGTAGGCACTGTAAATGTGCAGAGAAGTATCAAATGGCTTTGTATCAACATGGAACACTGAACATCTTCCAGTGCTTGAGAATGCATCCCAAAGGAGTAAGAGGCTTTGGCATTGAGTTGTCCATGTCTTTAATGTAAAAAACAACATGTAAGGATATGAGACCTTTTTTTTCAGTACCAGGAATCAAACTTAAGACATTTCCCTGAGCTATGTCTCTAGCTCTGTAGTGCAAGAAACTTTGAGCTACCTATCTATGCAAAAAGGAGTTGTTTATGTGTTCCTTCCTTATTCCTATTTGATAATGTCATCAAGGCATCCCTAAGGTTGATTTCACTCCAGAGCAGGTAGATGCCATCTGGAGAGTGTAGATGTAGAAGACAAAATTTGACCAGCCTATCCACTCTCAAACTGGCACAGACCATTGTATCTTTCTTGGTAGCTTGTGAACTTTGTTCCATAATTTATGAGTTATTGTGACAGGAATGTTTAAAGAAGGAAGCATAACTTTGTAATGACTATTGCTTTTATTCATTGGAAGAGGGAATATATAAAAAGGTGAGCTGGTAGTTAGAGGATTTCTTTGACAGTACTGTCAAGGAGATTGCCTCTGGAGATACTTAAGGCAACAAATGGCTTGGGAAATTCCAGCCCAGCATGCTAGGGCAAAGAGGCCTCCAAGTCAGTTGTGCTACCCATCTAATCACCTGAACAGTCTTTCCCAGCAGCAGGACATGGCTATCCTTTACATAAATTTCTGTATCTTTGAAGCTCAGAGATTAAACTTATTATCATTTGATAATCATATTTTATATGTTAGTAATGGCACACCACTCTTCTATGCACACACACACAAGAAAAGGCTAACTTTATTAACACAGTAAGGCACAAATGGAAATCTTTGTCTTACTAGCTGTTATAAAATGCAAACACTTGTTGCAAGCTGCCTCAGTTTAATCTCAGAAGGGAGAGGTAGTCTGATCTTAAAATCCATTGAAAAGCTTAGGGAGAGTTTCTAGGCTAGCAGAGAAATAAATATGGTAGATAAGTGGATATTTTCTGTGGTCATGTGTCAGTTTCCATTGAGGAGTCTTTGAGTGTCCACCAGAGAGTCACTCTGGCCAAGAATCCTCAGTTTAGTTTTTTTCAGTTTCTATTGGTCTACATAACTAGAGGTCAATGTCCAGAAAGGAATTCAGATGTCTGTCTCGTCAACATTCTGTTGATTCCATTGGTCACTGGCTTCAATGGAGACTCACCAACCTGTGCTCTGCTTTTAAGAGTGGCAACTGCTATTGGAGTGGTTAATTAGTTGTCAGAGTAACCAATGTCTTTCAAAGTTCTATGAGGGATAGTTAAAAGCCTGAACAAGAGCATTATCTAGCATTTTATAAGTTTACATTCAAGGTTTTAAAGTCCGTAGCTGGAAAGATTGGAGAGCTTCTTTAGTCTAAATGGGTTTGGTCCCATAAGTGTTATGCTTTTGGAAATAGCTCCTTCTGGCTTCATCCAAAAGTTCGTTTTTTCCATTGTGTCTCAGGTTCTGATCTAGAGGAGACTTGTCTAGAGCATAAAGCCCAGATATGGCTGTTACATATGTTCTCCTTGATGAACAAAATTCTGATGTCTCATCTGACCCAGAGACAGGTATGTGTCCCTCACGTAAGATGACTTCCCTGTGTTCAGCATTGCAAATGCTCATTTTCTATGGGCTTAATGTAGGAGGAAAAGCCTGGAATAGTCTGGAGTTCTTTTCTAATTTTATATGCCTCTAAAAGGAAAAAGTACAAAGTTGGGGGAAAGATTAGAAGTAAAGCCAGAGAAAGAAAACTGAAGCAGAACAGGCTTGACATTTCCTCTAGAGTAAAGAGGAGGATCAGAGCCAGTCTGTCTCAGTGAAACCCCAAGTCTTGAGGCCAGTCATCAGCCTAGTGCTTTTAAATGGTGGAAAGAATCTCAGTTTTATTATAGGCATGTGTATTTTCTAGATTTTATTTAAAACCCATTTTACAGAAGTTTATATTAAAACTCTACCACAGGTGTTCTAACGTTATTCCCTTGAGCACTATTGCTTAAATAAAGTCAAGAAAGGAATATCAGTAAGTTTAGTAATTAGTCTCAATGCAATATGTACAAGAATAAAAGCTTATAAATATCCGATGTTTTAACTTAGATTTATCACCATTTTAACAGATACTTATGGGACAAACAATTAAAAGCAATGGGTAAAGACAAGACACAAATAAATATAAGCAATGAGTGAAAAAAAAAGAAATTTGAAGCCTAAAAATTTGTTACCTAAATGAATGCCAGTTCAGAGTCTGTGATCAAAAGCAAACCCGTACCTCTGTTCAGTGATCTCAATGGAAGGCCTCCAAATGATACAGGGGAATGAAATTCCCAACCTACTGTATGTTCAGTACAAGTTCATGTTCTCTAAAATCGAAGAATGAATTTCAGGAGCAACAGAGGTTAAGAGCTGTATATATTTATTGAGAGTAAGAAGGGAAACAGACAGAAGGGCCCTCAAGTAGGTTTACAAGGAGCTTATTTTTAGTACTAAGTGGAAATTGAAACTGAAAAATTTAAACTGAATCTGCAGGAAAGGCTTTCCACTGACTCATGAGTATGATATTTTAGGGGCTCTATCTGTAGTGTAAGACACAGATCAGCAGCTATTTCTGTACATGGTGCTTCCTTTGCTATTACAGTACCTGGTCCTTGCAATAAGAGCAGGAAGAATTGCATACACTGTTTGCAAGAAAGAGTAAAGGGCATGTCTCCACCTTAAATGGGTAAAGAGTCAGGAATTAGGGTAAATATTTCTCCCATCTTCTGCTCCATGAGAGTACCTGACCTGTTTCAGAGGTAAACCTGAAAGCTCATTTTATTATCCTGGAGCAATTGTTTCTCCTAGAGGTTGTGACAAAGCATGAACATAAGTTTTAGACATATATTCAAAGTTGATACCATAACGAGCTTCCCTACTGGTGGTCTGGTCTTTTTGTCAACATTTACTGACACTTTTTCTTTATCTAGCCTGGTGCTCCAGGTCTATATTCTTTTCCTGCCCACCCTGTGCCCTCCTAAAGCTATCCATCATGCCTTGCAAACCTTGCCCTTTGGGCCATGGTTTCTGCTTTCCTGAAATTGACTTCTTTATTCCAATCAATTCATGTCTCACCCTTCTAGGACTCTCCTTCAGTAACTGGTACTTTCCCAACCAGAATGGTCTTACAACCCTTTGATTCTCCCATGCATTCTCTGTACATCTCTTATGGTCACAATCTTGTGACATTGTTATTTAGCTTCCTTCTCTACTGAAGCAACTGGGGACAATGACAACCCCCAGAAAATCAGACTTGCTACCCAGTGAGTGTCAGAAGATGCTTGTCCAACAAAAAGAAAAATTGATAAAAATATTAATGCATCTAATAAAAACTTCAGTGCAGTTGACACATGTACATCTGTAAATACAGAATTGATTAACATTGAGGGAAAAATTGATGTTAAAATTTCATAGATTCTATATAAGTATAGATTCATCTTATTTCCAGGTCATCTGTTAGAATATGTAAATAATCTCTTGAGGGACAATGTGCCCTGGACATGCACAACAGTGTTTAACCCGAAGACATGTTCTCAGGTCACCAAGCAGCCTAGCCTTCAATGCTTTAAACCCAGCCTGACATGACTTTCTCCTGTTATCAGACAGTACTCAAACAGTAGCACATATGGTACTCAGACAGTACTCAGTATTCAGACAGCACTCAGTACTCAGACAGCACTCAATACCACAGACAGTACTCAGCACTCAGACAGTACTCGGCACTCAGATAGCACTCAGCACTCAATTTTTTTGAACAGAATCTGCTTCAGATAATGATAAATAAAACTAGAGAAATTTTCTATATGGTTTCATAAATAGCAGACAAGAAACATTTTGGAGATATTTTATTTTGTTGTAGGGGAAATTTCACATTAAAATCTTCATCATTTCATTAAAGGATTATTTGGAATTAGAGTTTACGCCAAACTGCAAAGACTCTCTCCTCTTCCTCCTGCCATACAGACAAAAATTAATATCAATTTAATGCATAGACACAGAAGGTAAAAGCACATATTATTTTATATCAGGAAAATAGGAGATACATGGTAACAATTTCCAATAGTATTCTCTGAAGACTTTGAAGTAAACTAAAATAATTTTACATTTATTGAGTCATTAACATTTTAGGCATAATTTTCTCCCGGTTTATTTTAATGGAATTTCATTGTATTTTTAAGAAAATTTAAGTTATTTCTTAGAGGTTCAACCTCAGTACAGAGTGACATTTGAAGAGAATCAGCATATTATTTAGACTGATGTGAATTTTTTTGTTACCTGAAGTAATTTAAACTCCCAAAGAAGTACGAGTTTTTGAAATCAGCTTTGGGCCCTAAAACATGAAGAACAAATAATAATTAGTAAAGGGATGGATGGTCACATCAGTCATACAGGTAATTCTCCATGACCTAGAGTGAATGCACAGGTTTGTACATTAACTAAGTTTTAAAAAATTAAGAAACTGAAGACCTATGTCTCTGATACAAAAAACTGGGACAGCAAAAGCCAAGAAGGTAAAAGAAAATGTAGCCAATTATTAATCCACCTCAAGTCACTAAATAACTGTAATAAGATTGCCCCTAATTACTACTTTGTTGATATACAAAGGAGTGCTCCTAAGGGAGCTCAAAAGCATTTTCCATACATAGTCTCCCTATTACATAATTAATTTACCTTTAAATTATTTTAATATTTTTAACAAAACTTAATTTTAGGCCAAAATTGTCTAAATTGTAATTGCTTATTATGTATTTGCTTAATAGTTTTTCTAACTTGGAAATAAATCAAAATTACTAATCTTAATATATTTTAAAATAGAATTCTTAATATCTAGCAAGAAAACGTGATTATTTTTAAAATCTCTTAAATCCTTCCATCTATCCTTAAAAGCAATTTAAATCTTTCTGAGACTGTATTTAAAGTCACAGACTTGTGGGGCATGTTTTCCACCTCACTACAGATTTCCCACTAGCGTTCTGAGAGAGAACACAGACCTCCTCAGCGAAGCAGGCTTCCTGCTCCTGATGCTGGCAGCACTTCTCCACAAAGCCAGAGAAATCTGGGATGATGGCCTCCAGCTGTTCCTCTGTTATCTGCACTTTCTGCTTCACAAGGTTAATGAGAAGCCTGTGATTTAAAACAAAACAAAATGCAGGGAAATGCTTTATGCAAAGGTATTTTCCTAGAGCTATCGGAGTACCGGTTTTCAGAGCCCAGAAGCCATGGCATCGCTGACCCATGAGCAGAGGCAGCACACACACCTCTCAGCTCCAGCGCTCCCACCGGGAGGAGCGGGCTGGAAACCATCCAGGTCCTGACTTGTGCACACCACGATGGAACGTTATGTCACAGTGCTGCCACTCCTCTGCATAATGAAATGTCTTTTTCTTGCTTTCCTAGTATATTCTTTCCTGTTCTCTCTTCTAAAGTGTGTGGTTTATATTCAGGCCATATTTTCGGACCCTCCCCCACCACTGTCACACGTTTCCTGGGCACTGACAGCCCTGGTTGCTGGTGTGACTCATTTAGTGTATTCCTGTTGAAAATATTGTAGCCAGAGGCAATAGGGAAAGCTTGTTAGAGGAGGCAGCATTTCCCTTGTTCCTAGAAGCACACATCAGATTGTTGTGGAGAAGAAGGGATAGCAGGCTTCCCAACAAAGGATGTCCACTTTCAAAGCCAAGTGAGTATTAAAATGCATGAGTATTTGGAGACCATAATTGACTTGCATGACAGAATGGCTCATGCCATGAAGCAAAATACATACTTCATTTAATACTCACACTATATTACACTTACATTCTAATCCTTAAAGCATAAAAAGACTTAATTACATGATTCTTACACTCAGAACAAACTTACCCAGACTCACTACAAAGATATACCCTTACACTCCAAAAGAGATTGTCCATTTTCCTCACCCTTATTGTAAGGAGAAGTTATAATTGAGACAATTTTGAAAGAGAGGACACTGGGACAGAGCCATTTAAAAAAAAATCTTAGGTTTTTTTAAGGATAGTATATTCTAGTGAGCCCAAGAATGTAAGGAGTCTCTTTATATCAGTTGCCCCTTGGCACGGCCAGGCTTCTTTTAGAAAATAACAATTTCTTACTCTTGCTTCATTTCTTGTAGTGCTGCACCCTGAGCCTGGCACAGATCTTTATGGAAGATGAATTTGTCAGCAGAGAATGGTGGGGAGACATAGGTTTCGTCCACCAGCAGACGGCTGAAGCACGGCCTTCGGTCAGCATAAGACGAGCTGCAGCAGCGGCCCACGCCAGGATTCACGGGGCGTGCTTCATGTCTGATACACAACTGTCCAATAATGAGGTCAGCCTGGTCAAAACAGAGAGACAGAACTCAAGAGATGCACGTTTGCCACAAGTTAATTTAGAATTCCAGAAAGCTTTTGTGATAACTTAATGCCCAGCAAATTATAATTAATATTATAGGAAAATTTGCTTTCTGCACAGGAACACTCATGTGTTGCCATATTATAGATTTCTGGTCCAATTTGTTTGGAAAAACCCTGGCATCCAGCAGCTGATGTTACAGATGTGCTGCTGAGGACAGCCCTGCCACCTTCCGTGTTAGTTATTTGAAACATACTTCCAGCTGCATATTTATTTCCAAATGGAGGAAGTTTTTGCCCTTATTCATGAAAATCAACAGAGGGCTTCTTTTCTGCATATATGAACTTGAACTTTACTTTCAAGACTCAGAGTCACTGTCTAAAGCTAAAAGTAGTCTTTAACATCTACCTATCTACACATATGTATCTACATGCATTTATACATGCACGCATACAACCAGCAGAAAAGAAATAGGGCCAATGTGTGAGTGTCTTTAAGAATTTCATAATATGTTTCTTTAACTTGCAATTCTTACAGGCATTTTTTAAACACCTCACAGCAACTTTGAATAAATATTAACACATTTTGTGTGCATACTATATATCAGGCCAATGCTGTATGAGTTACTCAGACTATATAAAGACAGTTGAAAATGGTACAAATTTACTCTTAGATGTCAGATAAAGCAGCTCAAGCTTGATAACAGCCAGTGTCTGTCCAACGTGATGTGACCAGAAAGCGGAGGAAGTGGCTTGCAGGCACAGGAGCGCGGCATCCAGGACCTGTACTCCTGCACTGCCACGTTCACAATGAGAAGACTCAGCCTCTAACTGAGGGGACCCCTAACTGCAGGAAACTCTCATTTTATTCCTAACATTTTGAGAAAAGTTCCAAGACATGAAGACTAACTTGTAAATAATTCTCAATCATCAAAATCAGGACAAGGGTGGCTCTAAAGGAAAGAGTAATTTAAATTTTCAATCTGTACTCACAAGCATGGCATGAGTGACAAGGAAGTACAGATTATTAGAATTATGAAGTGGAAAGTCATCTTATTATCCAGAACTCGGGGCTTACTCTGTCATGATCCCCACACTGTCAAAAGGAACTGTTCCCAGCAGTAAGATCATATAAAAATGGCAATAGCTGGTGGCTAATTTTAATCTGTCAAAAGCAAAACTCTTTCTTTTTTTTAAACATTAAAATATGTAGTAAAGGAGATTCTAGAGTTAGTAACACACTGGTCATTCCATCTCTGCTGTCATGCCAAAGTCACACAGTCACACAGTCGCCAGTGCGCCATTTGGAGCCCAGTTCTCTGGTCCACTCTCACTGTGACTCATGGAACAAGCCAGAAAACCACCACCACTTCGACACAAAGGAGGTAAGACTAAAGGGCACAGTTACTCACCGCTCCTTCCCCACAGGCCAACTGCTTGTCCCCACTGAGTTTACAACATGTGGCCGCTGTGGTCACCATTTTCCTGGTGAAGGCCATCAGCTCAGATGTGGTCAGCTGAGGGGCTTTCTTCGTGTAAGTAATGAGAAACCTGAAAGAAGCATTCACCCAGTCCTGTTGAATCACTGGTGAGTTTTTTGACCCCTTGCTCCTTCTCACAGAATCTGTCTGGTGTCAGGAGGCACCAGGTTTTGAGACGTGCTCACTGGAATCCCTCTTCCTACGCCCATCGCCCAGTCGGTCTCACTGAGGAGGCACAGCCTGAGCAGGAGACTGATCCTTACTTTGAGCTTGCCACACTGATTCTGTGATTACTTGGTGTTTAGACTGTGACAAGCTATGGCAGAGCGGATGCCTTTACTGCAAAAATCTGCAGCCAGTTCCACAGACCAGACTGCGTACTCCCTGAAAGGGAGAAGGGGACCTCCTCTGGGGACAATCAAGTCATCAGACTCCTGGCTTCCTTCCAAGAGGTTCTGTGACAAAAGGAACCATTGCTCTGTCTTTTAGATTTATCTTTCCTTTGCCTGCTAACAGTTATAAGTCACTGAAAACACTGTTTAAAGGACATACGAGTTTTGCAGGTGATACTCTCCAAGTTTCTGGTAGAGGCCGCAGCTTCGTGTCGCCATCGCCTGGCTCTCCTGGATGAATTTCTGCAGCTCTTGCTCCTGAAAGAACAGCATTATCGCAAACATTTTTCTCTGTGTTCATACACAATGTAAAATAACAATTTTATATATAAATACATATATGTTTTGAATATAAAATCAATCTTTTTTTTCTACTACAAAACCACTCTAGAGTTTTTTCAATATTGAAGATGGTAGAGTAAAATTTTGAAAATTACAGGAAATAGACATTAAATTTAAAACTTTGTGAATCATCCAAATTATTTAGTGGCAGAACTCAATTTATGGATAAAAGGCAACATATCTGTACAAAATTCTTGTCTTTCTGAAACTGTCCAAAAATGATTATTTATTTTGTGCATCAAAAAACTTTTGGTCAACATTTTTATTTCTTAAGTCATTAGCTGCCACTTACTAATTAACAACTATTTAATATCTGGATTGCCAATTCCAAGTGTAACTAGCTATTTGACTGTAACTGTATGCTTTCAAACCATCTATGTGTGTTTGTTGATTGACTGTTGCTAGGGATGGAACCCAGGCCCTCACACACAGAAAACCAGTGCTCTACCACTGAGCTATACCTCCAGTCCAAGCAGGGTTTTTAGTGGATGATAATCTATCTAGTTTTTCAGATTCTTCTTAAAATTCTAGAACAACTTACCCCTTTATTCTGGCATTCAAGGGGGTTTTTAGACTGGAAACATTTCTCTAGTAACTCCTGGTATCCGTTAGCAATTCGTAGTATTATTGAGACAGCAAGTGCAGTGTGTCTTCGTGAATATTCATGAATAAAACTGAAATTTGTGGGTAAAAGTATCATAAATTATTTGGAACTCAGAGAAAATAAAGGTATGTATAGAAAGAGCAAGCGAGAAAGGGGAGAAATTAAAAATCAAACTAATAATGCTGGACATCAAATACAACTTGAATTCTAAGTGCAAAACTATTAATACAAACCAGTTTCTCAAACTATTCTGCACAATGGCATTTTTATTTCTTTTGCAACATATTTTGGTTTTTCAATTGTGTAGTTTGTTTATTCCTTCAACAAATATATCTTCCAGTGCTTTCTTGCTTTAAGCAACTTATTCTGTGTAAGATAAAATGTTTACCCTCTTAAAGTACATGTTAGGGGTACAAAAATAAGTAAACAAGACATAGTTCATGTTTCCTCAGTGGAAATAAATCAATGGGTAAAAATAAAGAAAGAGGAAAAGAGGCGGCCCAAAGTGAGGGGCCACTAATTTAACACATGTTCAAGGGAAGCTGCCCTGGACAGCTCATCTGGCACAGAAGCCTGATGCCAGAGTCTTGGGGGAAGATTTCTATTGCAGAGATGCTGTGATTGAAAGAACTGTATTCATTAAACAAACAGCTTTACGTATGTATGGATGTGTAACCTTGAAGTTAACTTTTGAATTTACTAATTGTATTTCCAAGTTACAGAAATTGGTTGTATTTAGATCTACCACCAATGAAATGTCAAAATTTGGTCTTTGTTTCAGTTTCTGTAATTTTATTTAGTAATGCAAACAATGTGTAGTGAATGGCTTACTTTAAAGCAACAAAAGTAGTGTCTTCAGAGACATTTAAAAAACATAGACCAACGGTTTCATTACAGTGTTAGGATCAGACCCTTAAATTGAGAAAGATCCTTGGAGATGATTAAGTATACTGGCTTAAGAGCTTCCTATATCCTTCCTCTACAGTGTACACAGGCACATATAATAAAGGAAAATGTATTAACTTGACTGCTTGCTTCCCTTAAAGCCATAGAGAATAAGAATATAGCCTACCAATTACATTACAGAACACCACTGGTTTTGTTTGATGGTTTGTTTCTTTGTTTGTTTGTAACTGAGGCAGAGTCTCTCTACATAGTTCACACTGGTGTTGAACTCACTACACAGCCCAAACTGCTGGGCTCAAATTCAGGGCGATTCTCCGGCCACTTCCTCCCGAGAGCTAGTATTACATGCATGCACTGCAATGTCTAGTTTAAACTAGTGTTCTGCTAATGTCTCTAAACATGGTTCTATTTTCTTTAGAAAAACGTGTATTCAATAAATACCAAGTAAATTGTTTCAAGAAAAGATCTACCTATCATTATCTACCGAGATATATTCTTAATCGTGAGCACTTCGAAGTGTAAAATACCTATAATGTATTTGAAAGTGTAAGGATGAGTTTCATAGGATAACCAATACAAGGTGACCATGCTTTTCATGCCAGAAACACTGACATAGACAATGTGTGCCTTCATAAGTGCGCCCAGGGAAAGCCTACCCACCATGAAATGGACAGCATCCCTGCCCCTAACTGTGCCTGCGTTGGTTTGCTCAGGCCATCCCAGCCAAACACCTTCGCACAGTCGGCTGAGATCCTGGGCCCTCAGCTCCTCTTTCAAGGGCACAGAGACACAGGTCACCAGGAGAGCCAGGGCTGGACATAGTGACAGCCTCACCTGGCCAAGAACATCGTTTTTTCTCCCGGGGTGAAGCGACTGAAATCTCTGTCCCCTAGGAACCCGCCCAGCTCCAGCTCCGGGGAGAGGCCGGCAGGCGTCTCGCCGTTTTCCGCGTGGATTATGCAGTGGCCGAGCTCAAGGACGGGAAGTTTACAGCATTCTGCTATTTTGCTCGACAGAACGTCTTGCTTCGAGCAGATGTAAGACATTATTTTCTCCTGCCGTGGGAAAACACAGAATGAATATTAAGCTTTATTCTCCAAGATAGAAGTTAGCATGCTGGGAGGCGAAGCTGTGCCAAACCACGCTCTGCTCGCTGAGGCCTGTCCTCTGCATTCTGAGCGACGCCGCGCAAAGCCCCTTCTGCAGGCTTCAGCTCAGCTGCAGCCTTCCAGCAACCGCGACCCCGCAGTCACCTCCCGTCCGCCCCGCAGCGCAGTGCGCACGCGCCGAGCCGCCCGCAGCGCCCGGCCGCTCCACAGTGCCCCGCGCGTCCTGCAGGGGGCGCCGCCCTCCCGCGCACCCTGGCGCCCCCACTCGGGCCGAAGCCCTGCTAAGGCGGGGCCGGAATCCCGCGTCCAGCCGGGCGCGGCTCTGAGCTCCGGAAGCGGAAAGCCTAGTTATCAAGATGAGCACAAAAGTTAGTCAGACTCGTCTGACGCCGAGAAAACGGCCAAGAAAGAAAACTGAAACGGCGGTGCGGCGGCCTCCTCCCTCCCCCGCGGCCAGGCGGGGCGCTGCTCGGGGGCGGGGCGGGGCGGGGCGGGTCAGGTCAGGGGGCGGGAGCAGCTCACCCCGTCCTGCAGGCACTCCAGCGCGTTTCCCTGGCAGCACTCCTCATGCACGTGGGCCACGTCCAGGACCAGTTTCTGCATTTCAGAAAAATTCGCTTTCGGAAATTTCTGGCTCAGCTTCGTGATGGTTCTGAAGGAGAAAGTTCAGGGTCACCGCCAGAGCGCAGGGACAGCACCGCGGTGAGCCGGGGCTTAGCAGCCCGAGGGGATGTGAACCAGTCTCCTCACTTGAGCGCGCTGTTAAGCTCAAGAGCTCCGTGCACTATCACCCGGGCCCAAGCATGATTTGCAAGTAACTTATTTCTTAAACTATCTTGGGAACTGAGATGAATCCTATTTTTGCGTTGTTCATCCTTGCTGCTTACTGAGCATTTGGGTCACTGTGACTACAAGATACTAAAAAGAGTAAACCGTTAAGAAACAGAGAATTTCGTGAGAATGATGATCGTTTTTCACTTAGGAGCAAAACTTCTGGGAACCCAGGGCCGGTGGGTGTGCATGTGCAAGTCCATGAACTGTAGAATAGAAAGGAGGGGACTTCGCCCTTCTGACATGTCATCATGCCGAGATACGCGTGTGCCAGAAGCAAAGTGAAAAATAAAAATTCTGGCTCCTTCATTAAATTTTATGAGATGTCTGTGTGAAGCTGCTGTTCACTTGAGCAACTAACTCATGGTGTTTCTGCTACAGATGAATATGGATTCTGCTTATAAACTTAGAACATTCAACTTTACTTACAGGTAAATATTAAAGTTGCTCGAGTCAAATGTTAATTTCTACTTTGTTACTAAGATAAACTTAAATAGTTCATAAATCAGTCTTTAAATTTCTAGTAGCTCTGGAAGGTTGCAAAAGGATACATCTGACCTCTTCCAAAAAGAAAGTTTACTCAGTATTTGGAACTAACTCTGGGACTCAAAACTTTCTTCCCCGTGTCCACGGTGTACAATATTTTAATACCGTTATTTAACTAGCAAACTAATGCAGTCTAATTGCAGCAGCCTGCAAGTCCATTCTTTGTTAACTGGGAGCCTGGATGTTTTTCTACATTGAAACATTTTATCACAAAAGAGTTAAATAGTACTTTAAACCAGTTATGTACTTTAAATTTTACTCCTCACCAGACAGTAAATGCCATTAGTACCGTCTCAAAGGAATGTTTTAAAACAGAATCTAACAGTTGACACAGTGAACCTTACAGCAGGGGAGGGAGCACAATTAAGGCAAAGAATTGCTTGTTAAATCACATTTTAAGTGATTCTCAACAAAGGTTGATCTACTTTGCAGAGGAGCTACCAAAACCTGCTCTTATAAGGCAGTATATAATTTGATTGTGGGAGAAATTCATGAGTTTTCCAAATAATAGGCAACTACTATAAACCTTTAAATTCTCTGCCATGTGCTAGCTGAGTGAGGCTTTAGGAAGGTTTTCTAGCAGAATGGTCAGTAAGCTGTTTTCTAGTCCCTCATAGGTAATCACAATAGCCTTCACCAAAGGCTTCGGTCTCCATGACAGCGGTCACAGTGAGAGAACCTGAGTCACCAGAGCATTTTACAGCTCTCAGACTTACATGGCTTGAAAGGTGCGGGGCCCAAAATTCCTCATCACTGCACATGCATGTTGGTTTAATAAACTGCTTTCTTGTAGATCTTTTGTAATTGGTGCTACCTAGACGTAGAGCAAATAAGGTGTTTAAAAAAGCTTGTATTTTATGAACTGTAATGAGGAAAAACAGTAATCATAAGTAAAACAAAGCTCTATAAAATGTTTTTAGTTAAAAATCATGTCACACATTTGCAGAACATTGTTTTCTCATTCATCCTTTTAGTTCAGTTTAAATGTATCCATGCAAGACAGATTTATTAAAAATACTCAAAGCGTAACATTTTGATGTTGGTATCATGAATAAGCAGCTGCACTTTTACATACTTTTAAGATACATGAAAGCCTGCTGATTTCTTCTCAGCTACAAAAAACAAGATTGCATCACAACCTGACCTTGAGAAAAGACACAATGCTTAGGAAATTTTTGTGAAAACTTCGGTGGCAAATAGTTCATTGTGGTTGTTATACTAGTTATCCGAATCTAAGAAAACTATTTTCTTCTCTAAACCTAAGTTTCTTTATTTGTTCAAATACACTAAACTTTATTCTAAGGGCTAAAATGTTAATGAATATAAAGCATTCAGCACGGTTCTCATGAGCACAGTGTAAAGAGTTTGTCTGCTTCTGTCTCCTCTTCGCCCCTTTCTGTTCACTTCCATTCACAGGCTGCTTTCCTCTTTACCCCACCCAACTTAATAGTAATTGTTGGCTGAATGAATGAATAAAAAACAGCAAATTCAGATTTTTACACAAAGAATATCAGATCTCTAAAGTATATTCTGTTCTGAAAATGACATCCTTCACATAAAGTGTATTTCTACTTTTAAATTTGGTTTTACTGAGTCACAGTCAGAGGGCACATTGGTTGAGACATTCATGCAAATGTCATACCTCCGTTTGGAAGCATTCAGCTGCGTTTTCAGCTTTGCAACACGATGGAAATATTTTGTCATAGCGGGCAGCCAAAGAGAGAGCAGTGGGTGTGTAGAGGAAGGGGTGTCTCCTGGACACCTCGTAGATGTATCTGTGAAGTGAAGAAGCCACAGAGTTTACAAGGTGAGCATGTTCTATACTGTATTCTTTAGGGGAACACTGTCCTATTTTTCCAGATGCTATCAAGAAAAAAAATACTGACTAAAGCTCCTCAAAGGACAAAACAACTAACACATGATCCCAGATTTTATTATGAGAAAATAGTCGGGAATGCTGTGATTTTTCTTAAAGTGATTATTCCACTAAGTCTCCTCAGATTTGTTGAGGGCTCAAGGCCAGACTTCTGCTAAACAAAGCAAAATCTTGGACTCTTTTTTTTTTTTTTCTATTCAAATGCAGAATGGAATTATCTATCCTGACTTTGTCTCCTGGTGCAGATTCCCCAACAGAAAACATGGATTCAAACGTATAGGCCGTGTGTGCTCATCAGGTTGACTTCTCCTTACAGATTGCAGATTCGTCATTAAAATAAGAAAAGGATAAACAATGACAAGAAAGAAGAAGCGGTATCAAAAGTTGTTGGTGATCAATAGTCCAACTCATGGTGCTATCCACAGTTGTTCATGTAACACCGTAGATGCTCAATACCTTACCCTTGTTTATCCATCTAAATTATAACTCTCTTTCAATTTTTTTATTTACAGGCAGTTTGGTGAACAAGATCCATCAATATTTGGCTCTGAATAGAGTTGATTTGTGGAAAATTAATATGTTCTTGGACAAGGTACAAATTGAGAGGTTAAAGCTGTGTCTCCTGAGACTACTGGCAGAGATTCAGGGTCAGTTGCGAGTCCTGGCTACATCTAGCACGTGTGCGTAGGCATTGCATTCAGACTTGCTCTCCTGAATGCCTTGAGCAGGCCTTTATAGCTATTACCCCAAGTTCCTACCTCACATCTCATAGTGCACTGTGAACTGCTTGTGTTGTTCCCATCCCACGGTTGTCCTTACTTGTTTAGGACCGTCTCCCTGTTTTCTTCATATGCTTTGCAACTCGTGACCATGTCTGGAACTTGCAAGGGTGGAATGGATGCTGGAGCAGCCCTTTTGCGTGTAAGTAGACACTTGTGCCTTTCCTCTCCGCTGCGGCTGCAGCAGTCTGCAAGTCCATACTTCTCATGGGTTGCCCTCTCATGACAGATTTCTTCCAGAAAGGTGGATAGCTGTAAGAAAGCTCGTACTTTTAGTGAAGGACCATCAACTGATCTTTAAATTTCTGTAAAACATGTAAAGAGTTTTCTACTACCCAAAATCAGAGAGAAAAAAAAAGATTTCCATGTAATTCCAGTACATTCAGTGTTAATCTGGTAACACAGCTTTCTTGCTTCCCTTTTGGAAACTAGAATTTTAACTTCTAAACTTGAGTAGTAAGCATGAGTATTAGACAAATGTGTTTTATTTTAAATAGAAAAGGTCATGAAATACTTTGTTTCTCTCCCTCAATTTTATTTTATTTTTTCCTTTTATGTTTCCAGCACTTTAGCCCCAGGATATATAAGTTTTCTCTTTTTATATAAACCATGTTTGAGAAATAGATATTCATCCCAGGTGGCTTTCTTATGACAAAACATTGACCCAGACTTGAACATTATTTTTGATTAAAAATAAAAACAATTTCAAGATGGGATAAAATGGAAAAACGTTTCATTGATCACAGTTACACATTTAGTTAAAATGATTTAAAATGTACGTTTCCTTCTTTGATGCCTAATTTTATCAGTATCAGAGAAGGATACCACTATTTGAAAGAAAGCCCCTGATACATGTGTTCCATTGATGTCAGAAAACTAAAACCTTAATTAAGAATTCTAACTCGCAATCATTTAAAAAAAAACCTGTAACTTTACAATGAAAAATCACCAATTTGTAGCCTTACTTTGCCCCTCTAATTGGACATAAAGCTGCAATTGCGAAAATATTCTGCATAGTTTATGTATACAGTTTTAAAAGATTATCAGAAAAAGTCATAAACATAGATTGTTAATTTAGAAATTTCAGAGTTGGAAAGCACTTTATATCTTAAAAGGTGTGTCTTATAGAATGTCCCAGACACATTTCAACCATGTGGATTCTCTAAACATTCTGTTCCATAAGTGGGTATCTTCAGTCAATATAAGGTTCATTTCTATATTGAGATAAAATAAACAGCAACTACTATTTATTGAGCATCTATACTGGGACAGCTTCATACAAACAAAAAGTATTCATTGTTTATCTGAAATTCAGATTTGTTAGGTATAGTGATCCATGCCTGTAATTAAAGCTACTTGGGTGGCAGAGGCAGGAGGATGATACATTTGAAGCTCTGTCTCAAAAATAGAAGATTTTAAAAAGGGCTGTGGCCTGGGTGACAGAATGTTTGCCTAGCATGTATGAAGACCTTTCAATTCACAGCACTGCTAAAAGAAAAGAAAAGAAATTTTAGATTTAGCGGAGCATTAGTTTTGATGTTAATTCCACTTTGCTTAATCTGGCAAGCTTAATTGTCACTGTGTGCCTCGTTTGCTGTAGTAGAGTGAAGCTACTGGGGACATTAGCCCTGGGACCAGGTGGCCTGGTTTACACCCCAGTTGTGTCATTTTGTTATTCTCTTAAAGAAGGTTACCACTCTGTCAGTTTCCTCAACTGGAATATTAGCATCAAACTCCTAAGATTATTATAAAGATTTAATAAGTTAATATTTGTAAACAAAGCTGAATTTTGCTAGTGAAAACTAGCCAAAGTCTCTTGACACACTGGACAACCATTCCGAATCCATAGTGCTATCTCCCTACCATAAAATAACTTGATTATCAATGCATTTGTCACAGTCCCTAGCAGAATGCCAACCATACTGTGCTCCTATAATTATACCAGTGTCCACTGCGAGTCTGAATTGGATTTAAGATTAGCCATGATGTCACAGAAAAAGAACACTGAAACTTAAAGTAGTAACACGCCCATCACAGTCAGATAATCTCATTCCAAAAACTTGGGTCTTAGTCACTGTCTGATGATAATAGCCACTCATTGTTTTCATCTGCATTGTCTAGTAATTCCAAATTATTTAGATGCTGCTATCCTACAACAGCTTTTTAAATACTCAAATACCTGCCTTTTCTGGGTCTTGTCTTCCATGCACTAAATTTTGGTCAAGTATCATTTTACCTTTTATTCGCTCACCTGATTTTCTAAACATTCTGCAAGTTGTTCACTGCCAGTGGGTTTCTTGATTACAGTCAATACATCTGTCACCATTTTTCTCACTTCCTCATAAGTGGCGTCTTGGACAAATTGGGAGAACAATATGGTAGCTCTAAAATAAAAACATGAATTCTTAAGGGACAGATTCATATCAAGCTTATCTTTCTGAAGTATAGTTCTGCCTGTTTCATTTTCTGTTTATGTTCTGACCTGTGCTAAAAGTTAGATTCTAGCCATCCAGAAAAAAATGTTAGTCCTTTTTGTGGTCATCTTCCCCTATAAATATACATGTAGCTATTAAAAGTAAAAATAAGTTAATTTTCCAAAAGAATTATTTCTCTTTTTCAATTACCCATTCTTACAATGTGCTTATAATTATACTTATCACAGTTTTATTTTTTAAATTTAATCAAAGTCTTGGTCATTAAACCTCTGCCTCTGTCTAATTCCCAGTAGTATGCAGTTCTGCTCTGGGACTATGGTATTCATGCATGACTTAAAGCAGTGTTTGCACGGGTTTCTCTATGCAATCAGGAGCAGTAATACATGCCTTTAGGTTTCCTGTTAGAAACCTCAGAAATGTGGAATGGAACAACAGCACTCAAGAGCACAATTTGCTTTCCAATAAAAAACAAAACAATATTTTACCTTCTGTAGTTTGCTATTAAGATTTAAATAGTATGTAGAATAAAAAGGACTGTATTATAATTCTATTGGTATTGATGATAAAACTCCTAAATTTATAAATAGTTGTCGCTGATAAAATCTTAGTTTACTACGTGGAATGCCAAGTAATCTAGAGGTTAATATCAAGGAGCCAAAGAAACTTCAGCTTCTTCATTAACAATTTGATATTAGATATTTTTAAATTGTCTTATTTGCCTTTGTCATTTAGAAACTCAGAACTAGCCAATCTCATTTAATTACTTAACTAAAATTATCTTGCTTTGCATACAAAAAGTGCATTGATCCCTGAAAAACTTACACATTAGCCAGATTCATCTCCGAAGAGCACTGGGAGGAATCCAACATGGAGGCTGGAAACAAAACAAACTTATGAAAGCCCTGTTCGCAACTGCAAGGATGTTTCTACTCAAGTTAGAACTGTAGACTGCAGAACTGGGAAGACAGTAGGGATAACCCACCCGAACATCTTAATTGTATACTTGAGAAAATTAAATAATAAAATTATAAGCATTATTTACAGTAGAACTAATGCTGAATTCTATACTTTATGGTTTTCAGTTGTTTTGTTTCCTGCTGTATTTTAATGTTCTGATAGGCTTGGAAATAAAGTGGTTAAAAATGTTTCAGGCACCTTTTTAAACACAGTTACATTACAGCTGGCTCTTAAAGATACCAGTCACAATATTACTGTTTCAGTCAATTTTCCTGAATTAATAAAGATATATCCAACAGAGTGGTACAGCACATTTAATGCCTGTCCTCTGGGAGACTGAGACAGGAGTATCATAAGTTGAAGGCCAGCCTGGGAAACTTAGGAATCCTGTCTCAAAAACTGTCGAGAAGTCACTTAGTGTAAGGCACTGAGTTAAGTCCCCAGTACTGGCAAATTTTCCCAAGGGAAAATAAAGGTGCCATTAATTTTAGGAGTCTAATGAGTGTGTGTGTGTGTGTGTGTGTGTGTGTGTGTGTGTGTGTGTGTGTGTGTGATGTTGGTATACTTACCAATTAAATACAAAAATTAATTCAACATGGAATATACAAGTCATTTAAGTACAACCACCAACTGAATATTTTTCTTCTGTGGAGCAATAAATGTGATATATAAATTAAGACAAACGATAAGTACAAACAAGAATTTTTATATAGAGAAAAGGAGAAAAACACGAAGTATCTCACCTATTCCATATGCATTTTTATGCAGTGTTTTGGAGTCCGTGAAACATAGTAGGAAAACTAAAATAACTGATGCCACCAGCTTCATGGTTGCCAGGTATCTCACTGTTGGCTGCAGTGGAAGCAAGATAGTAACCATCAGGCTGAGAGTCTCTTATACTCTTCATAACCAATGCCTGTTAACTAGTAACCCTTTGTTGGTATATCCATTGCATTATTTCCTGAGGGTGAGAATGGCATGATTTGCCAATAATTAACAGCACAAGGGTTATTTGTGTTTTATGTTCAAGGACAGAGACCTCTGCTTAGTGGAAAAAGAGAGAAATCCTACAAATTCATTTTATTTTACAAATGTAACAGATATTCACTCAAATTACAAACTATTCAAATAGATGATTTTCCCTTAATTGCAGAATAATTAATTTCTTTCAAGTTAAAGTTAATGTAATTTTAAAAGACTCCAGATTTAATATTCAAATCAATTAAAAATAGCAATTCTTTTAAAATATCGAGTGCTTATCATATGCCAAGCACTAAATACATTATTTGACCAAGTCAGACTCCTCATTAAGCAATGCACTTTTGTTTTTGCTCATTTTCTGCTCTATGTGATCACTCTGTACCCTAACAGAAATAGGCCTTGCTCATGCACTCACCGGTCAGACTTGTCTTCCTACACACTTGATTTCCAGAGCAGTACGCCTGTTCCTGAATGGGGACTGTACTCAGTACATGAAAACAACACCATTAGTTACAAAGAAATGACTGATAAGTCACTGCAATATAGTTCTATGCAGGAAACTATGTATAGTGTGGCTAAGTACAGGCAAACATAATCCAAAGTCTTTCCTCAAACTGGTCCATAGTGAACACTCAGCAATATCTGCTGAGTGAATAATGAGTACATTTGTTCAAAGACAAAAATTTAAGGCAGAGGCAGAGGTTTCGTTTGGCAAATCCCAGGCTCCATGAGTGCTAAGGTCCCTTCATAGCCTTCCTGGGTCCTAGGAACCCACCTCTTACCTCCTTTTCTTCCTCAGCTTGTTATATCCCAGTGTCTGGATGCTGAATCCTAAAGAGCTTGATTTGTTCCTGTTTATGGCTCTGCTGTGTTTCCGGAAGTCTTCTTTGAGATCTTTGTAATTTTATGAGTCGCATTTCAGGTTTTATGCTAATACATGCATAATCGGCAAGTCCAGATAATTCAGTGTCCTCACCTGCCAAAAGCTTAGAAGTGGGAGTGAGGGTTTAGTTTTGTGGTAGATCATTTGTCTGACAATCTTAAAGCCCCAAGTGTGGTCCCCAACAGCAGAATACATGAATAATAATACTAACTGCCTATTACAAAGAACATGTAAAAGTGCAAGCTTGGTAAGTACCAGGCCCATACGAAATCTTTCAGTATTATAAATACACATATAAACAGATGTACTACTTCAAGTAATACACATACATCAGGCTAGAGGTGTGTGATGTCAGCCACCAATTCTGACGCGGAGCTTGTCAGCCCAGGTCTTACTTGGATCTTTTCTCTGATATTCCACTGACTTTGTGTCAGCCTTTAATTCCCTACATTTAGCCAAGCAGAGTTCTGCTATCCCAGACCATGGTAAGAGCAGCTATTCCATGTCATGGCTACACTTAGGGATTTGGGAGCTAGTTTAGAATTTTTACCATGTCACTTATCCGCTACCTGACTTTGAGCGAGTTATTTAATTTTTCCTGGGCTTTATTTTATCATCCACAAAATGATGCTAACAATATCTCCTTATGATTAAGTGCATATAGAATAAATTAATATGCATAAATAGCCCATAACAGGGCCTGATTCAAAGTACAACTCCAGATAAGGGCTTATTTATTCATTCAATAAAAATGTTAAGTCTGTAAACCAAAAACTGTTCTTTGCCAGAAATAATCCAAAAGCAGCACTACCTGTCCTGCTGAGCCTACCATCGGACAGGAGAGGTGAACAGCTCCACCAGTGATACATGGAATGAGGCAGCTGTGACACAAGAGTTGAGATGAGCCCCTGGCATCTTGGGAGGAGTCAGGTAAGGCTTGCAAGAGGAGCTCACACCATAGGAGATCAGAAAAAGACTGGGTATAGAGCAGATAAAAGAGAGAGAAGGTCTCTATATAGATGGCAATGAAAGGGCCCCCAGTTAGGGAGAAAACAATACATTCAAGGAAAGTGGAGAAAGCGTTTCCATCAAACACAAGGTTTAAAGACAAGAAAACTCACTCTACAGAGGAAATTTCTGGCCAATTGGTAGGACCCACATCTCAAAGACTGTCAAGTGTACACCTCACCTGAAGTAATAGGACACCACAAAAGAAGCTAATAATAATTGTGCATTTTGAAACTGCCTCTAATGTAACAAAAAGAACAGGGCTTCATTTGAAGAGAGCAAAAGGAAGCTGCTAAAAGAATATGTTCCAGTAAGTGACCTGGTGGACAGAAGTGCTGACAGGAAGTAAGACACATGAATAAAGTTAAGTAGTATGAATGACACAAGGTTAAAAGGATTTGGTAACTGAAAAATACCCAATCTGGGGTGTAGCAGCTTAAGACAGAGTGATCAGTTTATCCAAACAGTCTGGATCTGTGCCTGTTGACTCAGTGTAATTAATAACCAAGCTCCCCTCTCAAAGCATTCTAGGCACACCAACATATGTACGTGTAAAAGCATTTTTAAACTACAAATGCAGAGGCTTATTAGCATTGGAATAGTATTTCTCATCTCTGGAGAAAAATTGAGGAGAAAGAGATTAGAGATCAGAGCTTCTAGAAGGTTGTTGTAGACATGTGAGCAGGTGAAAGAGAGATTACAGGTTAAAAAAAAAAAGGACTCCAAGAAAGACCAGGCCTATAAAGGTGAGAGGAGATAGAGAGGAGCTTTGTGGTATGGTATGTATGCTGTCTGCAAACAGTCTTCCACCTGTGTGCTGTTGCTCAAAGTTTAGTCCGAAGTACAGAGTTCCCATCAGATATGGTTCCATTTTTCTGATTCTGAGTCTGTTTGCTTTGTCATAAATCATTGAAGCTACCCAGAGGCAGCATGGCACAGTAAGCTGGACTTCGGAGTCAGAAAAAAGATTCTAGCCTTGGCTGTGACAATAATTAGCTGTATGACATCAGACAAAGAATTTAATCTGCCTTGCTCTTAATTTCCTCATAAATATAAAAATAATATTTCCTCTAAAGATTATTTTCATGCATAGATGAAATAATATTTTACATTTTAAAAAAGATAACACTGATTATTATCATTATTAGCACTGGTTTAGTGTAAAATGTTAGATATATTCTTTCTCAAAGCTGTACATGCTGGTTGTTAGAAAGCTGCCATCTCTCCCTCGCTGTTTGAGAACACCATCCCATTTCTTTCTATGTTAGCGTGGGTGGGGGAACTGATTTGAAAATGTGTATTTTAAATGTCTATGCCATTTTCCATCAATGTTTGTAAAAACAGTACCACACTTTAGTACTTAGCTTAAATGTTTTTCCATATGTGTATTCTGATTGCTCTCTAACCAGAGAAAGTCTTGTTACTTTTGAAAATTTATAACACTGTTTTCTTATTTGACTTTATATCAGTCATTTTGAACTATGCAATCCTTCTTAGATAGTTAACTTCTTGGATTCAGGGACTCATCTTTGTGATTCCTGTGGTGCTTAGCACAATGTGTGCCACTTAGAACAATCTTGGTAACTGGAAATTGAACGGCACCAAATCAAAATGTGTACTTATGCACCAACTGTCTTCACTTATTGACAAAATAAATGGCACAGCTCTTATATTGTTCCTGCTTCAAACATTACTGGCATGTTTGTATTTATAGTTTCTCTAATATTCATTCATGTCCGGAAGTCTCGGGATAGATCTGTGAGGGAAGCAGTAGCTAAGGTCTTGAGAGGAAACCAGTAATTTTTGTTTCTAGATTCAGAGTTTAAAATGAATCCCCTAGAGTTGATGCCATCCAGATGTCAGCAGGATGGATGTCCCCAAAGTCCTCCACTCCAGTAAGGTCATTATGTTCCTTCAGATTTGCTAATACTGTTTATGAGGAGAAAGCAGAATTGCCACCCATGCAGTCTCCATAGGACTAAGCGGTCCCAGACCCAAAGACTTCTGCCCTGTGCTTACCTCTTTAGTTCCTATTCTCTGCTGCTGTTAGACTCTGTTTTACCTTTATATGTTACCTCTTCCCCATTCAAACTCCATATTTCCTTTCCACAATCATCTTTTCAAAGAAGCCCAAGCAATTTTATAGCATATAACTAGTAATAAATATAAAAAGTCCTTTTTAACTAATACAAACACAAGGAGGCTCTTCCTTTTCAGGCCTAACCAGTCTCCTTTCTGCTTGGTCCCTTCTGACATGATCACTTCTCATCTAGCCCTGGCTTTCAATGCCCTCTTGCTAATTTTAAATAGAGCACATAATCCTCCCTTTATATAATTAGGCTTCATTTAGATCATGTGCTGCACTGGAAGATTTCACCTTTCACATTTGCTCAAAAAAAAAAAAAAAAAAGACCATTTCCTCAATCAAAAGGACTTTACTTTGGTTTTCAGGAGAAAAAAAGAAAAGCAAACATATTTTCTACCTCCACAGCAGGAGCAAACGGAGAGGGGTCAGAGTCAAATTAGGCAACTGATCTGCCCATCAAACTTAAAAGACAGAAGGACCTCAGGGTCAATAGGTGAGTGAAGACATCAGTGTGGATCAAGCAAAGACAGAGAGAGCAGCAAAGAGTCAACTCAAAATAAATTTCACACACAGTGTTGCTCCATCAACAGCCCTTGTCTTTATCTGACTTGGCTGCTTGTTATAGGCTGGTCCTGGGTCCTTAAGACACAGAACTAGGCCACATACTCAAATAAAGTATGAACTACTCAAAGGAGACACTGCATGTTGCAAGCATTTCCTAAAAGCTGTGGAATATAACTTGCATAGATAACAGCCCTTCCTACACACCTGTCTTGTGATGACTTAATTTGGAGTCCCTCTTCTTGTCCCAGCTTATATAACAGTGATGGGGTGTGTGTGTGTGTGTGTGTGTGTGTGTGTGTGTGTGTGTGTGTGTGTAAGAAATAATGAAAGAAGTCAGAAGGCCTTATGCT